TTCGAGTTCGAAACATTCACTCGAACATTAAGCCTATGGGCTACTTTTATTCTGAGTTCAAGTAAGCACTCACTCGACCACTTAGCCTACGGGCTCTATTACTTCGAGTTCGAAAATATTCACTCGAATATTAAGCCTACGGGCTACTTTTATTCTGAGTTCGAGAAAGCACTCACTCGACCATTTAGCCTACGAGCTATATTACTTTGAGTTCGAAATATTCACTCGACTAATAAGCCTACGGGCTACTTTTATTCCGAGTTCGAGCAAGCACTCATTCGACCACTTAGCCTATGGGCTATATTACTTCGAGTTCAAAACATTCACTCGAATATTAACCCTATGGGCTGCTTTTATTCCGAGTTCGAGCAAGCACTCACTCGACCACTTAGCCTACATGCTATATTACTTCGAGTTCGAAACATTCACTTGAATATTAAGCCTACGGGCTACTTTTATTACGAGTTCGAGCAAGCACTCACTCGACCACTTAGCCTACGGGCTATATTACTTCGAGTTCAAAACATTCACTCGAATATTAACCCTATGGGCTGCTTTTATTCCGAGTTCGAGCAAGCACTCACTCGACCACTTAGCCTACGGGCTATATTACTTCGAGTTCGAAATAATCACTCGACCATTACACCAACGGGCTATGTTACTTCGAGTTCGAAACAATCACTCGACTATTACGCCTACGGGATATATTACGTCGAGTTCGAATCACTCACTCAACTAATAAGCCTAAGGGCTACATCATCTCAAGTTTGAGAAATCACTCAACTCGACTACTAATCTTGTGAGCTACCTTATTTCAAGTTTGAGTAAGCGCTCACTCGGTTATAAAGGCTACGAAGTCCAAATTCGATCAAAATTGCCTATATCCTTATGAAAACATTCATAAGACAGGAATAAAATCTTCACAAGGCAGGAAACAAAACAGAAATAAGTCAGTAAAACAAAAAGATATTTATTTACAAGATTGTTTACATGATCGATTGCAACATAAAAACTAAGGGGCTAAGTTTCTTGGCTATCTCCGGGAGCGGTCTCTTCTCTACCGGGCTCCCCCACATTATTGGACCCGCTCTTACTCCTATCATCATTATCATTATCATCATCGTCGTCATCAGAAGCCAAGGCTTCGGCATCGGCTTCGAGTTCTTTGGCCCTTTTAATCTCTTCAGCGAGGTCGAAACCTCGAGCATGGATCTCCTTGAGGGTCTCCCTCCGAGATCGGCACTTAGCAAGTACAACGACCCAATGTGCTCGAGTATCGGCGGTCTCGGTTGCCTTTCTTGCTTGGACCTGGGCAGCTTCAGCATCGGCCCGATAGACGGCCACGAGTGCATCCGCATCGGCCTTTGCCTTTTCGGCGTCAGATTCGGCCTTGGCAAGTTCATAGGCCAACCGAGCCTCGAGCTCCTCTATACTTCTTGCTTGGACCGAGCCTTTCTACTTCATTTTTTGAAGTTGATTTTCGGCGATGATAATTGGGCTCGAGCAACTTCTTTCTCTGCAGCAAAGCGGCCCATTCCTTCTTTCCATTTCAAAGACTCCGCTTTTATCACATCAACTTTTTCACGGAGTTTTCCGATCATCTCAATTTTCTGCTGCAGTTGTGAGACCGAAAAATTAGCCATCATTCTGGTATCGAGCCCATAGGCTTTGAAAAGTATTATTACCTGCTCGGACAGATCGATCTAATCTTGGTGAGCCTTGGCCAACTCAGCTCGGAGGTCTTTTATATCCTCCCCCCTTTGGTCTAAGAGGAGTTTTAGGGAGTTCCTCTCCTCTGTAACCCGTTGAAGCTCGGCGTCGTATCAACGCAGCTCGGTTTGGGACCGAGAACATGCTTCTCGTTGAACTACCACGACCTGCAAAGAAAGAAGAAATGAAGTTAGAAAAGAAGAGCAAACATAAAGGTAATACCAACAAAATAATTTAAGGCTTACCTAATTCGAAGCTTGTTGCACCCCATGGAAAAGATTCGATGCATCACTAGTACCGACAACGCCCTCGACATCGGTAAACAGGTCACGAAAAAGATCCTCTACATCATGAGGCATGTCTAGTTCGAGGGCCCCCAAAGCTTGGGCATCCCGAATCGCCCCTGCGGAAAAAGCAGGGAAGATGGGTGAATCTTTGATTGCTACTGCCCCAAGTGAATCACTTGGAGCATTCTTTTCGGTTCGAAGAGATTCGAGGAGAGCCCCTTCAGACATATCCCCCATCCGTTGGCTTCGATGGGAAGCATCTTCGATCTCCAACAACTCGGGGACTCCTCCCGAATCTTTCTCCGAATTATCCTCAGTTTGAGGCGGATCCTTATGAACCACCATCGATCCAGCTGCCTGTGGAATGTCGGTGGTCTTCTTCGTTCGGGCCGCCAGCGCGGACCCATCGTTTTCTTCTTCTTATTCTTCTTCTTCTTCTTCTTCTTCTTCTTCTTCTTCTTCTTATTCTTCTTCTTCTTCTTCTTCTTCTTCTTCTTCTTCATCCCTTAGACGCAGAACTGATTCTATGGTCAAAGGAATGGTATTCTTGTCCGTCTTACGAGTCGTCCTCTTCTTCGGTTTTGGATCTTCGGGAGCGGAGGCTCTTTTCCTCTTATTATCTTTCACCGGCTTTGGGACAGAGGTCGAAGCCTCTTCCTCGACGGATGAGGGACTCAAAACTGCATCTTTGCCCACCCATACATATGAAAAATTTTATTAAAGTATATGGAAAACGTCTCGTTCGAACTACCAAAAGGTACGAGAAAAGGGCTTACCGTGATTTTTTGCCTCCCATCGGCCCTTTGACAAATCACGCCATGAGCGCTCGGCATATGTGGAGGTCGAAGCCAAAGCTCGTACCCAATTCTTGAGATCGGGAACTGCTCCGGGCATCCAAGAAACCACTGCATCACAGAAAGAGGAATATCAGTGAGAAAAGAAATGAAAGGGCGAAATAGAAGGAAGTAACAGCAGAATCACACTTACGTTTCATATTCCACTCCTCGGAAAAATGCATCTTTTCAGTCGGAATGAGGTATGAAGTCCTTACTCGAACGAACCTGCCCATCTAGCCTCGATCCCTGTACTCGTCAATGCTCGAGAATAGAGCCTTGGTAGTCCGACGCTGAAGTTTTATTAACACTCATCGAAAAAGGCGAGGACGGTACAATCGGATGAGATGGTTGAGGGTGAACAACATCCCCCCGATTTTATTCACAAAGTATCGAATCAAAATAATGATCCGCCAAAAAGAAGGATAGACCTGACCTAGGGTTATTTAGTATTGACGGCAGAAGTCAATAATAACAGAATCGAGGGGACCTAACGTGAAAGGGTAAGTATACACACTTAAAAACCATTTCACGTGAGTGGTGATATCTTCGTCAAAAGAAAGGATTATTATTTCTTTACCCTCCCAATTGCAATCTTTTTTCAGCTGTTTGAGGTGCCTCTCGGTTATCGAATACATGTACCTCGATACTGGCTCACATCGGCCGGGAACCGACGAGCCTTTATCGACCTTAAAATCAGAGGTAAGAACACACGCCCCAGGAACACACTCCTCAGGTCGTGGCTCTACCGATGTTTCGTCGACAGCATACTATGAAGATGAAGCTCTCTCTTTCTGAGGAATGGTTTGTGATGTTTTCGCCATTTTCGAATCTAAAGGTCAAGAATAGAAGAAAGTGATAAAGATTTAGTAATTTTGAAGAAGGGCTTTTGCAAAGAGGAATCACAAAATTGCGAATAGAATCAGAGGGTACGAAAAAGAACTTGGCAAATTTGGAAGATTGAAGATGTAAAAGTGGTAAATGGTAAAAAGAAGGGCTATTTATAGTTTAAAGCAATGGCGGTTCAATATCAACGGTGGACGACCACCGTCTGACATACATTAAATGCCTTGAAAAACTAAATCGACGGGACAGCTATCACGTGCGTCATGATCAAGCTCAATGTGAACGTCAGCTTATAATCCAATCGAGTCATTGAAGAATCATATCGTTTCTCACCACATCCTTCCCGAGAAACTAGGGGACTATCTGTATATGGTCGAAATAAATTTCGGCCTTCGTACGATTGATCAAGGTCGAAATATAATGGATTGAAGAAAGACTTCTTAATATCGAGATGGGTTCCTAAGATGGTACAAACAAGCTTCGGATTTCAGGTATAAGTCAAACACCAAGTTCGAAGTCATCATCGAGCTCTGGTCCGGATCGAACTATGATGAGATGATTTCGAGCTTAAGGGGCAGAGGCCAACCGGGACTGAGTCCGAATCATCACCTGATCCCGAGTCCGTATCGAGCTCTAGAAGCACTACCGACCGACACCGAGGCCGATCGAGCTCGATCCCACAGACAAGAGCCGTTGCAAACATACTAAGGGAGAGAATCTCGGCGGGAATAAGGGAAAAGCTGATTTATCATGGAGTCTCCACTATGTATTTTTAATTATATCTAAAGTCGGATCCTCCACTATAAAGATGATGGCTACATTTCTGTAAGGACATTTTTTTACTTACATTGTAATTCAAGCACCATATTCTTCTAAGTTTCATTAGTTGATTCGTTGTGTTTAGTCCTAAAAATCACCTTCTCTCCAACCTTGTTTATTTCTGAATTCTTTTGCAATCCTTATTTGATATTTCTATTTATCCATACGATTTGTATCAGGCTATATCACATATCCTTAGAACTACGTACAAATTCAACTCTATTCGTTTTTCGGATAAATAAAAATATTGAACTTTTCACATATTATCCTTCGACAAAGTTGTCTACTACTTGTTCACGTTTTATCAAAAGTCATTTAGGCATCACCATATTAGAACTTGCAGATTTTTCGTAAGAAAGAGAAACTAATTTCAAGACAAGGAAAAGAGCACTTTATCACTGAGGAAAAGCTGCACATATATATTTGGCAAAGACAACGTCCAATCTTTTATTACACATGTATACACACACTGATATATATAACCTAGCTACCAGGCTACCACCTTTGATGCATGGTCTAACCAAAGAAATACGCATCGTATTACTTAGACTAGACCAAGTCTTTCACTACATAAAGTTGGTACAATTAGCACAAAATAACTCGAGAGAACACTACTACTAGTAATATTTAACGCTAGTTATTTTTGTTATACTTAACATTTCAACACGACCACATATTTCTTGAAAAAAGTATCTATATATTTCTCGATGAGGAATTAATATCTATGGATTAACTCTAGAAATCATTTCCATCAAGTCAATCTCCTTGTTACTGACTTCACCTTGCCTGAGTTCATAAGGAATAATCTCCAAACCCATGCATTTCTCCATAATGGAATTAGGACCAACATGCATATCTTCCATAAAAGAATTCATTGTATTCTCTTCAAAAAATTTATCATCCAATGCAAATTCTGGGACTTCACTGAAATCAAAATCACGAACTTGCTCCATATTCCCTTGGGAAAACTGATCAGTGGCTTCTGGCTTAGTCGATACCTTTACTTTGGCACTAGAGTTTGTGGCATTGCAAGTTTGAGAATTTTTTTTGCTGCTTCCTTTTCCAAATTCAAGCTTTTGATGTAATTCTGGAGGAGAGAACTAGGCCTTGGCCATTTGGTACGACATTTTCGTCTTGAAAATTGCCTTCTTTTTGTTGCATTCCAATGATTCTTAATTGAATTCTCAGTTCTTCCAGGAAGTCTCTTTGCAATTTCTGCCCATTTGTTTCCCACTTCGGCATGAGCTTCTATTAGGATTCTGTCTTCTTCCTCTGTCCACAAATCCTTCTGAAACAACACAAATCTTTAATTAGAAGTATTTAATTAGATAGTCATGATGTCATTTATGTATTAGGCAATTATTTACAAATACGACTACTATTGCAAATAATCTTTATATTGACCGTGTATATAACTTAAAAGCATATGGATGGAAATCGTTAACAAAATTTTCCATAAGTCTTGAGGAATATTGGGAAAAAGAAATTCTTGTACATGCATGCATGGATATAGAAGGAAGAGCAGTCACAAATTAAAGAAAGAAAAAACCCTTTAATTTACATGGAATGTGATAAACTTGCATAAAGATAATACGATGTTAAGGGAAGATTCTAAACAGAAAGCAAGATTAATATTATTTGCAAATTAAAGAAAGAAATAAAAGATCATACTTTTATATCAGGTCTGAGATGGTTGTGCCACCTCTCCCTACATTGCTTGCCTATCCTCCCTTTGAGCAATTGTGCTATTTGAGACCATTTTCTAACTCCAAACTTCTCTACCAAATGGATCAAAAGCCTGCACATATATAAGTTTATTTTGATAAGTACATGATCAAGTTTCTCAATAGGAATTTAACCTACTAAGACAATCTTCACGGCAAAAGAAAAAAAACATGAAATAACCAAAGAAATTCATAGATAATGATGTTAAAACATAATTAAGTATAATTTAAAAGTATATTTTATCTAACAACTCAAGCTTTTAAATGAGATAAAATGATATGATTACCTGTCTTCTTCAATCGTCCATTGTCCTTTGGCGGATTTAGACTTCTTATTCCTCCCTCTACCTAGTTTTTTCATTGATGAAGATAATAAGCAGCTTTGATCATTTCTTTTCACCTTCTTATTCTTTCTTAATTCACCAATTTCTAATTTGCAATTAGAACCATTAGTGACACATGATGAACTTTGATCAGGCACAACAAAGTTTAAAGGCTTCACATCTTCACAACCATTGTACGTATAATTAACATCCATAGGATTCTCCTTGATTGTGTTACCATTTTCTTCATCAAATGGTTTAAGCTCATAACTAAAGTTAAAATCTCCTAATGAAGAAAAATTATCCTCATTGGAGAATGGATCAAAGGGGTCATAACCATTGGTATCAATCATAAAATTTTCAGTGTTGTTGAAGGTATAGTTAGGTAGTACTCCTCCTGAAAGAGAAAAGTTAAGATCAAGGTGCTGAAAATCTTGAAAATAATCTTTAGAGTCTATGCAAAAATCATCATCCAATTCTGGTTTGAGGCTATTGTTATTAGGCACAAAAATTGGGTGAAAGGAAAGGTCTTGTTTATTACTTGGATCAAGTTCCATTGGAAGGAAATTAGCTTGAGGCAAAATGGAGGGGAAATGAGGGAGGAAAAGGGAGCTCTCTAATCTCTATCTCATTCTCTGATCTTTAATTTAATTGAATTCCCTTCTCTGTTTGTTATCTTAATGGTAGTAGTAAAGGAGTGGCATTTATTGCAGTGTGAATGTATCTGGACTGTTTGTATCAAAGGGTGATCTAATTGCAAGTGTTCTAAAGGACAAAGGCTTGTTTTGTTTAGGACTAATTAAACAAAGTATGTACAAAATATAGGTAGTTTTATAATGATTAGATTCACAAGTTAGATATATGTTTTTGTTGAATTTTATCATTTGATTGCAAAATCTGATTTCACTTGATTTTTGATTCTGCCAGATTTGCATCTTCTTTATTGAGTCTATTATCTTTTCCATTGACGGATGTATATCGAGGTTCGAGTTACATACAAAATTGAGTAATTTATATGTATTTATATTAGGCACAAAACTAACATGTACATACAATGTTATTGTTAATAATTACATTAAAAAGTAGTGTTGAAATTAGTAAATACAAGTAAAGGAATTAAATTATTCTTCCTCTTCCTTGTTTTCCTTTTCGATCCATACATAAATGTAAAAGACGAGTTTACTTATTTGCTTAATTGATATAGCAAATATGTAACCATTAAATTGTTCAGCTTAGTAAATTCACATTATGTGAAATTTATCGTAATTTCCCTTTTCTTTTAAACTTTAACTTTAAAATGATGTGCACAAAGACTACGGAGGAATAAGTCAATGGTATTTCTTTGATTAAAGCAGTCAATAGTAGCAATTCCTTGTTAAAATTAGCCAATGGATGTAATAAGAAGTTACTGCGATTTAATATAATAAAAGTTTTTGCGATAAGTCTTCTTTAACATCAGTTCTCCGAGATATATTATCAAAATCATACAATTGTATCATTCCTCAAATTTTCATCACGCATTTTTTTGGTCCTTTGCATTAATAAAATAGGATTTGTTTTAAAGAGAGTAATATTCTAAAAGTTTCAAAAATGGAATTTTTTGTTAAAACTTTCATATATTGATAAGCGAAAATTTATATATGTTGAAAACCAACTCTATTTTGGAGAGGACAACTTAATTACCATGGTAAACACAAAAACATGTTTCGTGTTTTAGTTCAATATTTGTATTCTATTCTAGTCTTTAAATGTCATAAAGATTTTTTACCATTATAGTCCACCAGTTAATTCTTTGACCATGTAATTGGACAACCAGAATGTTCGTCTTAGTACCTTTGAATAGGCTTTTGCACAAAAGTATTCTACATGAGAGAGGTTTCCCAAAGATATTATTAGCATATAGTAGGAGAGTAGATGAGTAATTAGATTTGTTAACTGAAGCTCTCTTTCTCTCTTTCCATTCTCACATTAAATTCTGAAATTACTACTTGTCATTAAAAGTAGTTTTAGTAGTCAGTAAATTATCATAGATGACATAGAATAACTCAGTAAACGTAATGTTGAATCCATTAGAATAACTCAGTACACGTTTTGCAGAAGTCACAGTGGAACCATAGAAACGTTAAATACAATTGTTAACTAATTGTGTTCAATTCTACAGGTATAAATGTTGAAATCTTGCCCCTTTTTTACTTTATGAAACTTAAATTCCAAGCTTAACAATATATTTATATCCACCTAAATATTATGAACTAAAAAGACTAATTAAATTTAAATCAACTTTGCCATCAAATAAGTCACATAGCCTAAAATAGGAACGAGATTGCGTCTACAGCTAATTCCCTTTAAAAGCAATTTTGAATAAAATGATTCTCCTTCAGTACTTTCTCCTTTCGATGTTATGTGACGCTCATTTGACCCTGTCATGACTTTACTCACTTGAAAAAAGGCTGATTTTTTAATTTATATTTATCATAGGAGAGAAAAAGTAACAAGAACATGCTCAAGTCTCAGCATCTCTCACTTCATTTTTGGTAGTAAAAGCAATTTTGGAACTACAAAACATTTGTTGAGCTTTCTGTTATTCTGTTGCATTTCAAATCTGTAGATACTATTGCACTGGCAGAAAGGGTAACGTTCATTAACGCAAATAAAAATATTTTGAAGAATTAACTCAACTAGCCACTCATCCAATCACTTACACTATAAATAGCCGGTGGAGGTATAATATGTACATAATTTATGTATTATATGTGTATACTTATGTAAAATCAATGTATAATGTATGTATATGGCTAGAAAAAGTAAATGAATACGACGGACTATTTGTGTAAAGATCCGTAGAATTTTCTGTATTTAAATCAGATCTAAAAGTCATTCTTTTATTGATGAAAATAGTATAGATGCGAATTCAACTGTCATTTTTAGAATATTTGAAGTGTTAATGAAAAGGTCTCATGTAATATCTTGGAACCTAGGGAACTTGAAATCAACTGCCACTCTTGAACTAGATGGTGGAGTCAGGAAAGACATTACCCTACAAAGGCCAAATCCTTTTGCTGGAAATTGCTTATCACACCCAGAAATTGATAATTTTGTCAATTATTGAACACTAGTTTCTCACTGATAATACATAAAGGACACAATATAGGGTTATACAGCAGGGCATTGTAGCTGGAAGGCCTTTTCGGGGTTTTGTCCGTCGATTTCTGAATGGTGAGGGACATCATAAGGCATCTTTTGGGCAGAAATACCTGCTTCATTGAGCGCTTTAACAACTTCTTGGTGAACAATGGCATTGCCTTCTGCCGTGAGATGTAAGCCATCACTGTAACAAAATAAAACAGAAAAAATAAGAGTTTTCACATTTCACCATCGAGGGTCTTCGGAAACAACCTCTCTATCTTCACAAGGTAGGGATAACGTCTGCGTACACACTACCTCTCCAAACCCTACTTGTGGATTACACTGGGTCTGTTATTGTTGTTGTTGTTGTTGTTCATTTCACTACTAAAAATATCCCCAGAAGTACTGAGTTCAGTGTAACTGCCAAGACACATGTATATTGATGATGCCATGACAAGAATGCCACTGTTTGCTGCTAATTGAGGCCACCGGCGCATCTCCATGCCAATCCTCCCCACCCCTTCCCCCGAACTCCCAATCGTTCTTATAAAACATTATAAGCATGATCATTCCTCTAACACCATATTGCACCACAAACTTCAACTATCAATGGGGACTATGCAAAGTTAAACTTAAAAGCATGTGTACATTTGTCACTTACCTGAGGAATTTTTTTTGCCAACCCTCTGTTTCCTGCATTTTAGACCATAGATTGATGGAAGGGAGACCTAGCTCCCTTGCCAATTCAACGCACTGTTTTGCGTACTCTCCTGTCACTTCATTTGTCCTTTCTGGCAATTCCATTGCTTTGTCTCCATACATAGACCTGTTTTTCAAATTAAAAAGTAACAGATCCCAGTACAATAATATTTGATTCAGTTGACAGTGACACGCTTACGTTTAAAAAAGTGCCATACCAAAAGCTAAATATATGAAACAAAAAATAAGCTGGAAACGTAAAACTTGGTTTCACTGATAGAGTTTTGCTTTTAGAGGAAACAAGTGGATAAAAGGAAAATGACCAAAAGACGTCATGTCCATGAGTACATGATAAAGGCACAGGTCATACTGCTAAAAGGCTACTGGGTCCTGAAATATTCATCTATGATTAGAAAGATAATTTGCACTACTGTTGCTGTAAAAGTTATTGAAAGGAATGTACTCTCTGATGCGGGGCCACTACTGTAGGATTGATCTCTTGTGTGACAACTGCATATTCGGCTCCTACATTGGGTACCGCTCGATAGCCATGATCAAGGGAGTCTCTAGTGATGCTGAAGCTGCCTTTGCAGCAATAGCTGTAATTATGATTCAAAGAGGCACTGTACACAAAAACCAATCTGCTTATTCCTCTTTCTTTTTGCCCTCTTTTTGGGGTTCTTTTTTGAGAAGTCTGCTTATTTCTCCAGTGTATGTTTGAGAGGTTGGTTAATCTCTCCAGTTATATGTTGAGAAGTTATTGGATACTGTTATCTACTCAGCTTTTGAACAGTTAAAGCCCTATCCCACTACTAAAAGGAGCTCCGGGTTGTGTCACGAAGGTTCTTGAACATCTCAGATACCATAGAGTTCAAAAAAGAAATAAAAAGAAAAAGAGCAATTGGTTGCCTCATAATTTATTTTACCAATAAAGAGAAGGTGGATTGTACCTTGCTTGTTCAAACCGTCCTGCTTCATCAACTGGTGGTGGAGTTATAAGCACTGCTAGGATTGACGGGGAGCATTTCTGTGACGTAAATAAGATGAATGAGATATACAAAAGAGCGCAAAGCTCAACCCAGAATTCTAAAGATATATAGAGCATAACAGAAGACAAGGGTCTAGTGTATCCTGTTGTACTCTAAACAACCCCGGAATCGAGCAATTGGATTGGTATCACCAGAAGAGTGAGATTCAAACTAAATTCAATTTGCCAGCAGGTGGATTCATGATCTCTATATACTTGGGATATTTTATGTCTTCTCAACAAGCACATTAACAAGAGTATGAACTATAAAGTTAACAAGACATCTTTTATGTTTGTTCATGCCAATCTACCATTCCCATTTTCTTGCATTGTACTTCTGCACATTATTTGTGAAAGTGAATAGTTGGTAAAATTAATTACTCCAGTGGGCAGAATCTGCATGTCTTCCAACTAGCATAGCAACTAGGTTTTGAGACTACCATTACACAACTTGCATAGAGACAGGCAAAGCTTTGTTTTATAGATATTCATTCTCTCTGATGTTACTTATGAATATGTATTCCTCTATGTTACGCTGACTCTTTACTCTTTCTGATGTTACTGACCAGCGTTTAGAAAAGCGATCGCTTCGTCGCTTGTGTCGCTTTCTTCTTCTCTTTTTTTTCTTTCTTCTTCTTGTTCCCGTCCAGATTCTGCTTTTTTTTCTTTCTTTTTCCTTCTTTCTTCCTTCTTCTTCGTTTATCTCTGAACAGTCCAATTTGCACATTGTTCAGACTTCAGCGTCTTCTTCTTCCTTTTATCTCTAACCCGTCCAGATTCTGTTTTTTTTCCCCCTTTTATTCTTCTTATTTATTAATTATTAATTTTAATATGTATTTTAGTTTATAAAATTAATTATTATTTATATATGTTATATTTTTCAGTTTATTTGATTTTTTAATGTATATTTCAGTATATAAAATTAATTATTATATATATGTTATATTTTCAGTTTATTTGATTAATTTTATATGTATTTCATTTTAGAAAATTAATTATTATATATATATGTTATATTTTAGTTTATTTGATTTTTTTAATGTGTATTTCGGTTTATAAAATTAATTATTATATATATTAGATGTATTTTCTTATATCTTAATAGGGATTTCAAAATGTCTCAAAGATCGAAAGAGAAAGACCCGGCTTGGCGATAGAGTTAATGAGAAGAATACAAATGTTGTATGCAAGTTTTGTAACAAGATTACAATGGATGGAATTTATCGCTTTAAATTCCATCTTATTGGTGGCGATAGAAACGTCACAAGTTGTCCGAAATGCCCACCGGAGGTGAGGGATGAAATAAAGAATTTTGTTGAGAAGAAGAAGGAGCAAAAAAATCAAATGAGTCATCAACCATTGGTGACCAATCTTGATGATGATGGTGATGATGATATTGAAGAATTGTCACTTCCAACAAAACGGGGAAGAGATGCAATCTCTTCAAGCCATGGATCGACGGGTACGAGTAGGACTAAAGGTCCTATAGATTGCTATTTCCCAAAGAAGCCGGAAGGAAAGAGCGGTGGAAAAGATGTACAAAAAATT